TCCTTGTTGTAAGTCTGTTTTAAATAAGTTTGGTTTCTATTTTCTAGGCCTATCTTTTCATCACATCCTTTGTTATGACACTGGGCCATAAACCTTTGCTCCTATTCCCATGTGTATGAATGAATAAATCAATAACAGTGTGGCTGTAGTTGCTAGCGGCAACTTGTAATTTTTTCTTTAAAGAAGGCTGAATAATTATAAATAACTTGGAACCATTCAGTACCTGTAGTGCAAACTCTAACTGTCTTCCTGGTTTAAAAGACACCTGTCTTCTGTAAGTTTTCAGGATCTTCCAGATGGCAATCTGCCACCTTTTACTCAATAGCCTGTGTGTGCAGACTATTCAGAGCCCATAGGCTTAATTATACAGACTACTAACCCTCCGTACTTTTAGCTCTGTGTATATGCTAAGATTCTTCTTGTTCTTGGTGTCATCTCTTCTAGCTGCATTTTTTTTTAAAGGAAGAGACCACTTGAAGAACATTAGAGAGACAGATTACCTCATAAAGCAGGGGTATCAAACTCACCAAGCCCTGCTAATCTGTATCTTTGGCACTCATGTCATAAAGGTTTTGTTTTTGGTTTGTTTGTTTTTTTCCCCAAGAGACTGTCCTAAATAAAATGTAGATTACCCCCACCCAAACTTTGGTGTTTGAATTCAAACTCTGACCTAGTTGGGAAATAGATCCCTTCTTTATTCTGGGCCAGCCCAAATCTGCAGTTCCAAACTTCCCCAAACTTGGAGTATTTCATATCCGGAACCCAGGTTAAGCCACATAAGTGTACTGAATGGGCTAAGCCACAGATATGTTAACACAAATCACAAATGACCATACCTAGTAAAACCTGAACTAATGCATCATCTTTCTAATACCTTGTATAGACAAGAGGAACAGCCATAATATAGTGGCCAATTGATATAAATTGTATAGGTTCACCCTTGTAATAGCTTTAGTTGCCATAACGTGACCATAATTTAAATTACATATTGTAAATACATAAAATTATATTTGACCAAACCAGACAACTCTTGTGCATAGAAATATGAAAATAATATATATGATATCAAGCATGAGTAGTACCAGTCTAATCTACATATTTCTGGTCTGAATTCTTTCATAATATGTCAATGTAATGATCAGCACAATCTCAAAATGTGTACTTCAAAGAACTGTAAGATGAGGTAAATCACTGTGAAGTTTAAGTATTAGGTAATCACTCAAATGATTTTACTCATCATCATATATATAAGGGAAGGTTTATTACAACAGCAGCATTTTTATGACTCCAGACTACTATGTTCCTCTTGTATTGCTGAGGCACTGTTGTGTATCTCAGTCTGAACAATCATGGTTTGCTTCTGTGTTGTCATTCTTGGCAAGGTTACTGGCTTGTCATTACTAAATCTAAATGACAAAGAAAAAGAAATGGATAGGAAGCAAAGTGAGTTAAATCACTCCATGAATTTTGTTGTAAATTGTAAAAGGACACAACAGCCAAATCAAGCTAGTGTTTGACAATCCTGGGAGATGCTGATTTTTTTCCTGGGGGAAGCTGTGCAGATTGATTGTCAGGTCTTTGCTAGTAATGAGCATGTCAGAAATACTGCTTTGTTGTGGACTCGCATTTTTCTTGAGCCTTTATGCAGCTTTGGCAGATTTTAGGGAGGACTATGAAGGGAGGTGTGAGAAATATCTCATTGACCCGTGTTACAGGTTAATTCAGTGGTCATTCCATTTGACATGCACAAAGGATACAAATGCTGCTTCTTTGTAGGTCACAAAAAACTTGAAGCAAAGCTTCAAGTTTCTTCTAGGGATTTTCATAAAACTAGAAAGCTGTTGCCTTCTGTAAGTATAGGGTTCATTGGAAAGGAAAGGGAAAAGTAGGAAATATTCACGGGATTCATGGGTTATGTCCTAAATACTGAAGCAGATAAAGCCAGATAACAGGATACTTCTCTGTATCATCAATGCTAGAAGCAAAACTCATTTCATGAAAAAAGTCAGTTAGAATTATGGCAATGCATACATCCTTCAGAAAATTTCCTTTTATTGAAGGAAATCTAACAGGGTTAGAATTGAAATCCACTTTGAATGTCATGCTTGTGTAGAAGAACACCAAAGATGTTTGAAGTCTAGTCACATTGTACAATATAAAAAGCATTTTAGAAGTCATTTCATTAGTTCTTTGAGCTTATAGAAAAGGTGTAGGGGAGGTATAAAAATGTTTCTCCTCTTCAGGAGCATTAAGAGCAAGTTTAAAAGGAAACAATGTGGCAAAGAACACTTTTTCAGGTTTTCATGCTTCTGACAATACTTTGTGGTCATTGTCCTTTGTCCTGCAAGCTTAGCCTCTCTTCACATGCCTCACTGGCATGTCAAATATGCTAGTCAACAGCTTTAATATAAAACTTCATCCCCTGTCGATATGCCATCAGCATACCCTCCAGACCATCCCCTGATGAAAAGTAAGAGATGGGAGATCCAGAATGAGGCCCTGAACTCACACTGAGTTTATCTTTTTTATTTTGCTTTTTGTACCCATAGACCACAAGACTTGACTGATGATTACATCAGGGGGAAAAAGAAAATGGAAATTGTCTCAAAGAAGACATTAAAGCAAGGGAATAATAATAATAATAATAATAATAATAATGAGACAACGACAGGAGAATTGAATGCTATGTATTTGTAATTAATTGTTTTCTGTCCAGGAACAGTATATTTTAATACAGTGCATTCAAGGCTTCTTGCACTCTTGTAGAACATGTAACCCTTATTTGTTTTGGTGATAATAATCAGAATCTCATATATTAAGTGACATGTTTTTTCCAGTTAGGTCAGATTATTGTGCACTCCCTGTCACTGTACCATAATGATAACAAACACAGTTTCCCAGTGGCCTTGTGCAGGAGTCAGAAATATTTTCTAGTTGGGACTGGAACGGTCTAGTTCAGGTTGTAGATGGGTGGGCACTAGGACCTGCTGCCTCTCCCACTTTTCCCCTGCTGCTCCCCCCACCAAAGCCCCTGGTACCTGCCTGTGGTGCAGGCAGAGACCTTTGCTGCTGAATGCCACCAAAGTCACAGCTCCATGGGCTAGATCCAAAGACTCTGTGGGCCATGGGCTATCAACCCCCTGCCTATGTCATTAATGTGAAGAAAAAATGACATAAACACATGGACACCCAAGCATGGGAATTGATATAATCATTTTGCTGGTTATGGTTTAGTAAAGTGACTCCTGATATTGTATGGAAACCTTGTGGCAAAATCAGGAATAGAAGCCAGGAGTTCTGTATTTCAGCCTTGTTTCTGCCAATATTCTTTTTGCCCAATTGTTATGTACAATTCTGTAATAGATACAAGGCCTCTGAAAGGATAGAAAATGTAAACAGAGAGATCTCCATAGATTGTAGGATCATAGGAAAGTAGAGCTGGAAGAGACCTCACAAGGTCATCTAGTTCAGCCTCTTACTTATTGCAAGATTACTCTAGACAAAACCATCCCAGCCAAGTGTCTGTCCAATCTACTTGTCTTGAAAATGTCCAGGGTGGACATTGTGTAACTTCTCTAGGTAACTTGTTACAATGCTTGACTACCCTCATAGTCAGAAAGTTCCTCCTAATCTCCAAACTAAATGTCCTTTGCTGGAAGTTGAGTCCGTATCTCCTAGTCATATCCCCTACGGCCACAGGAAAAAGAACTTCTTCACCCTGTATATAACTGTCCTTCAGGTATTTTAAAATCAAGTATCTACGTTTAAAACTCCACTAGTTTGAGCTACTGACAATGGAAGTTTTAAATACTTAGAAATAAAACCAGCTTGGGGAAATACTCTCCAGTGTCCACAACCCAAATGACTTCAAGGCAATTGCCTCCAAAAGGGAGGTACTATATAAAAAGTCTTTTTAAAGAATGTACACTTATTCAGACATTTCTTTTAGTTTCTTTTACACAATAAAGAGGAAAGGATAATCAAAACTGAAGTTTTATTTTGTATCCATTGTTGATAGTTGTCATTGTTAGGGGTTACTGTATATAGCACTAGAAGTGCCCCCACTGCCCCCCAGCAGTGGCTCTTTTAATGTTTTTCATTTTGCCAGCCCCCGCCCCCCGCCCCAGTTGGTGGAGGTGCTGCACTGGCCAGGCTGTTCAGTGCTGATCACCAGGGAAGTGAAAACCACGGCATATTTAAAACCTCCACTGATCAGGTGGGAGCAGAGGGTAAGTGGCAAAATACATTAAAGAAGCTGGTGTGGGAGGTACTTCTAGTGCAGTTTACGGAGATCTGTAGTCATTGTCTACCCATAATGTGGGTTTCTCCAGGGTGTGCCTAGAATTAGAAAGTTCATAATCCTAGAGCTGGAAGGGATATCTAGGGTCATTTCATGCAATCTCCTACACAAATGCAAGATTAATTATTCCTAAACCAGCCTAGGCAGATGCTCTTCTTGAAAATCTGTAAGGAAGGAGATTCTACAACTTCACTCAGCAGCTTGTTTCATGGTGTGAGTGCTAATACAGTTGCAGTAAAACCACCCACCTTCTAAATTCATCCCCAGTATCTGCAAAGGAGTCCCTGGGGGGAGGGGAATCTCCCCATTCTAGCTAAACTCCGGTCTTGTAATGACCAGGTAGAGTTCCAGGGACTGAAGCACACTCATTTGTTCCATTTACTTCCCCAATCCATACAGGAGAGTTGTGATGATAGATTGGTCAATGTCTTGCTTTAATAAAAACATGTAAAGGTTCTTAAATAACTTCATCTGTTACTTAAATACTTCAAATGATGGGAAAAGAAATGTTGAAAATTGTATATAGTGCACAGGAACACCACGCAACAGTTGAATTGCCTGGTTTGAGTTGTAATTGCTTTTGCATCGTTGAATCCTTAAAACAGCACAAGGACTTACTATGTTTCAGATTCTTATTATTTCATTGTACTGTGAATAAAGGTTTTCAAATCCTAACAGTATGATTTCTGATTTTCTATAGGAGAGATGGAGGAATTGGAAACACTGTGGCTGACAGGTATTTGTCACAATGAGAAGAATGAAGTCATGAGCAGCCAGCTGGATATTGACAACATGGCAGGCGTATTTTACATGCTTGCAGCAGCCATGGCCCTCAGCCTAATAACCTTTGTTTGGGAACATTTGTTTTACTGGAAACTGAGATTCTGCTTCACTGGGGTCTGCACAGATAGGCCAGGATTGTTGTTCTCCATCAGCAGGGTTAGTATAAATTTTATTCACTCCATTTGTGCAGCTACTTTCTTAAAACCGTTAATCACATCTACTAAAACAAGCATTGCCCCTCTCATTGTAGGCCCTAGTTGAACAATTGAAATATTTTCTTAGAAATTTCATAAGCTAATGGGTTATATTTTAGCTTTATGTTCTGCACATTGCCAACATTTTTTTTTTCCCATTTGAAAACTGACTAGTGGAATAGCATGTACCAGGGTAGTCTCTATGTGAAAATAGAAATATAGCAAGAACACCAGATTATTTGCTCTTTAACAGGAAATGGGCTAATCACTAGTCTATAGTATGTTTTAAAAACCTTCACTAATCAAATGATACATATCAGTTCTCAGCATTGTGCACTACATGGAGCATGTAGGTTTTTTATTAGAAAATTTTAAACCAGGCCATTCCTAACATATATTTTCTAATTAATTAGATAACTTCATAAACTGTGCAGGAATGGTTATACAGATACAAATGTCATTGACTCATGCAGTATGACTAGGTTAAGTTTTATAGATAATTCTACCAATTTAAAAGTAGTAGTAGTAAAAGCAGGTGGCATATTTAATCTTTCTTTTTTCTGATAAAGTAACAGCACTTAATTAGGTAATGGACTCTGCTGGGCTTTCTTTTATCTACAGTAGAAGTAAACAGAATCATAAAATCATTGAAAATTAGGGTTGGCAGGGACCTAAGGAGATCATCTAGTCCATCCCATTGCTCAAAGCAGGACCATCCCCAACTAGATCATCCCAGCTAAAGCTTTGTCAGCTGGGTCTTTAAAACCTCTAAGGATGGAGCTTCCACCACCTCACTGGGTAACCCGTTCCAGTGTTTTACTACTGTCCTAGTGAGAAAATTCTTTCTAATATCTAACCTAAACTTTCCTTGCTGCAACTTGAGACCATTGCTGCTTGTTCTGTCATCTACCCCCACTGAAAACAGTTGAGCTCCATCCTCTTTTGAACCCCCCCTTCAGGTAGTAGAAGACTGTTATTAAATCCCCCTCAGTCTTCTCTCCTCTAGACTTAATAATCCCAGTTCCCTCATCTTGTCCTTATAAATCATGTGCCCTGGTCCCCTCACAATTTTTGTTGCCCTCTGCTGGACTCTCTCCAATTTGTCCACATCCTTTCTGTTCGTGGGGGGCCCAAAACTGAACACAGTACTCCAGATGTGGCCTCACCAGTGCTGAATAGAGGGGAAGAATCACTTCTCTTGACCTACAAACAACACACCTACCAATATTCCCTAGTATGCCATTAGCCTTGTTGGCAACCAGGGCATACTACTGGCTCATATTCCACTTATTGTCCGCTGGAACCCCCAGGCCCTTTTCTGCAAAGCTGCTGCTCAGCCAATCAGTCCCCAGCCTGTACCGGTGAATGGGATTGTTCCATCCTAAGTGCAGGACTTTGCATTTGTCCTTGATGAACCTCATGCAGTTCCTTTTGGCCCAATTCTCCAATTTGTCTAAGTCATTCTGAATCCTAGCCCTACCTTCCAGCATATCTACTACTCTCCCCAGCTTCATGTCATCTGCAAACTTGCTGAGGGTGTGCTTTTAGCCATCTTCCAGGTCATTGATGGAGACATTGAACAAAACTAGTCCCAGGACCGACCCCTGGGGCACTCCACTTGATACTGGCTCCCAGCTAGACATTGAGCCATTGATTACTGTTCTTAGCTCGATGCTCCAACCTGTTTTCTGTCCACCTTACAGTCCATTCATCCAGCCCATACTTCCTTAGCTTGACTGCAAGAATGTTGTGGGAGACCATATCCAAAGCCTTGCTAAAATCAAGGTACACCACATCCAATGGTCTCCCTACATCCACAGAGCCAATCACCTCATTATAGGAGGTAATCAGGATATCAGTGAGACTATCAATGACATATTAACCTATTCATGAAAGCCTCTCCTAATACACTGGGTTTTGCCTTGTGTTCTCCTAGGAAAGCTGACAGTTGTGACCTGTTCATATAAGCACAGAATTTTATGGCATGCCTATTTTAAACATTTGTTTTGCTTGTTTTGAGACTAACCCTTGCACTTCATATTTTCACTAGCATGAAAAGGAGTTTGGGGTGGGTAAGGAATATGACTTTGCAGAATTTCATCCATGGCTGTATCTATCTTTTGGGGAAAAAGTGACTCTGTTCCCCAGTCCCACCTGCTCTGACTATTTATCTCTCTCTGATTTTGTAACTTGTATTTAGTTACAAAAAAATAATCCTTATTTACACATTTCTTTGTAGGCTTATTTAATAGATGTGTGGACATGAAACCTTTTTATTTAACTGAATACTGTCCTGGAACAGATACTTCCACACAATTTTGAATGTCATAAATAACCAGATTCTCTAGATAAACATCATAAAATAATCATTAGAAAGATATACACTGCATTCCTTCTTATCACAACCCTTATTACTCTTACCCCATTTCTTGTTTATCTAAAGGGCAAATAAGAGATTAATTTTATGTCATAAAGATATTTTGAAACTAAATTTGCTGTGGAAATTTATACCCAAATTTGTTGAATTTAATAAATGTTGACATTTTACAGTTTCCATGAAACATTAATTTACCATCAAGATAAAAAGAATCAGTTTGTATACAGGGCAAAGAAGTGTTATATTTATGATACATTTTAAACATTTTAAACATTTTAAACAAGTAAAATTGTCAGGTCAGGTAATAGAATTACAGAATTAAATAGGAGGGGAGAGAGTTAGATAGCCAGATAAAGTAGAAAGGGAGCTAGTGAGAGAGAAATTGTTCCGGGCAATGATAACAGTAACTGCAGTGGACAGAGTTTTTGCTCCAGTAGTGCTGAGGAGTGAAAAGGAGCCAGTGCTACATAAGGCAGCAAGGTGGGATTTTAATTAAATTGATCCCTAAATGAGTAGGATGAGGCGGAGTGGGTAGATAATGAGAGTGATGTAGTTATGCTCCTTGTATGCAGTGGTGAGGTAGGGGGTGCAAAGCAGACAGAAGCTTTCTACACCAGTTGGAACCAAAAATATCTGGAACCTTAAAAGATTATGGAGAAGAATATATGATAATAAAGGTGAAGAGATGATGAGGTCTGGGAAGACCAGCATTTGCTGTCTTCTCAACCAGTATTTCCTACAGTCTGGCTCAAAGTTCATTAATAGTTTTAGGAAAGATTTAACAGATCACATGGCAGTGACTTTCCTTTCTATTGACATTAAAACATTTGAAAAAAGTTGTCTTCTGCAGAAGCCATTGTTGCAGTGGTCCAGTGTATGCTACATATTGTGAATGGATGAGGAGGTTGATATAACTGTGTGGAGGAAGGGAAAATAATTTTGCAATTCACAGTCCCTTTAAAAAGGTTTGAGAATCTGTACTTCAAAGGATCAGTTTGGCCACCTGTTTGCAGGCATTAATGCAAGCCTCCAAGCCTCTCATACTTTCCTTTGAGACTGCATTTCTGTCAGCAGTTACTTGTTTTCATTCAGGATCTTTTTATCTTGATTAGTACAGAAGCTTTTCAGGATGCCTGCTTTTATTTTTGCTTTTACAGTATTTTCTTTCTTTGGTGTTCTGCAAATAGAATTCCTGTGTTTACTTTAAATGTTAATGTAGCCCTGCAACCAAAGGGTTTATACTTTTCAAACCAAAAAACTCAGTTTTACAGTACACTAAGTCTACATTTATTATTTTCTCTTATGTCTATGTGAAATTCTCTCAAGTACTTTGAAAAAACCCATTTATGTCAAAGAAAAATGTATGGCTAAAAAAGCATCAGCTTTGAAATGTCCATTTAATACTTTCTATACTGATGAGTAAACAAGTTTGAATTTAAGGACAGACTTTAATCTTCACACAAAACTCAAATGAAATCCAATTTTAAAAGATTAATTTAACATTTTTTGGAAGATGTTGTTTCATATTTGCACTATTCCTCCATAATCTGACATAAGGTCTGAAATAACTTGAGAGGAGGTTTTTCATTTCCTTGGAAATAAGAAATATTATATGAAATTGCCCATTCTTGCTCATCTTCCAGTCCACTTTTGAGGATTAAAGAGGTGTGAGCAACTCAGACAAGCATCTAATCTTTTGGGGCTTAATTAACTTTAGTGATTTACCCATCACTTGCTATGCGTTTTCTTTAGTCATCATCTTGTCCAATGTGAAAGGGAAGGGAAGGATAGCATTAAAAAATAAACGACAAGCCCCCGCTACACTCATCATTATACGCCGGGTAGTAGAGAAAAAGCAGGATGCCGAGTTTGTTTTTCTTTCATTTGTGTGTGCTCTATTGGCTAAATTAGGTTGCAGTCACACACTCTTAGCCCAGTACTTAATCAGACATGATATCCATAGAAGTCCTGAGGGTTTGGTATCAATAAGGACTCAAAGAGAAGTGACTGATCTTTGTATTTGGCTTGTTAGTTTTATTGGGGATATTGTCTGAAAAATGACTAATGAGCATTAGATTTGTGCCAGGGCCCGCATAAGTCTTCCTTAACAGTAACAATAGGTAGACATAGGCACCTCATTTTCACAGCTTTGGAACTGCAGAGCTATTTAATATATAGGGCTGCTTTGTTGAGCTTATTTTGATGGTCTGTGGTTAGTAGCACTGAAAACCTGTTTCTGTTCTAGTTATTGAGGTGCTGTAGTTACAACCTCATAACACCTATTTCTTTTGAAGACAGTGGTAGTCTTCATCCCAGATATTTACTAAAGTGTCATACTAATTATCTAGCAGTCAGTAAGGAGGAGGTAAGTCATCAGGCAGTTTACAGAAAATGTGTTAACACTTTCTTTCACCTATTGCTTGTGTTGCTCTATATAGACTAGCTCTTTCTAGACAGGTTATTGCAGAGGGCCTCTTGCTGATATTCTTTCTTTGAGTAATACCTTACTACATGTGTAGTTCTACTGATTGCACTGAACTCACTCAGAATTGTTGAACTGTCAGAAGTTGATGTGGCAAAAGGAAGAGTATCTCTTGAGATGCTAGAAATAAAAGCATCAGAATTTTTGATGGGCTTGAATCCTATCTAACCCAGCCTCCATCTCCCCACCAGGAAACTGTCTTGCATGCCATATTGGGTTCAGGTTTACAGGTGCATGGCAGGTGAGAACATAAGCGTGTCAAACAGTAACAGTGTAACATTACACATTTTCCTTTTACAGTGCCCAAGACGTATGGCACTAAAGATCATCTAGTTTGGGGAAATGTGTATTTTTATTTGGACCATAAACCAAATATTTAGTATCACCTTCTTATGTACAAATTTAAGAATATGATTCAGGGCTGGATATGCATTTATATTCTGTTTTCTCATTAAATAAGTGATTTTTTTATTTAATTAATTTTGCTAATAATTAAATATATAATTAAAGTATGTAAAGTTTGCAGCTGGTGGTTTAATGCATTTTTGCATTACTTTTATTACAGGGTATTTATAGCTGTATTCATGGAGTACACACTGAGGAAAAAAAGAAGTCACCTGACTTTACTTTGACCAATTCCCAAACCAATATGTTAAAACTATTACGAACAGCCAAAAACATGACAAGCATTAATCCTTCAAGAATTAACTCCCCCAAAAGAACAGCTGATTTTATTCAAAGGGGTTCCTTAATTATGGATATGGTCATGGATAAGGGGAACCAGATATTTTCTGACAATAGATCTTTTCAGCCAAAGGACAATTTTCTTGGTGACAATATAAGTGAACTGCAGACATTTGCTGGCAACCGTCATAAAGACAATCTTAATAACTATGTATTTCAAGGTCAGCATCCTCTCACGCTGAATGAATCTAATCCAAATACAGTAGAGGTTGCTGTTACAGCAGAAGCAAAAGTAAACTCCAGACCCAGGCAGCTTTGGAGAAAATCTGTCGAATCTTTACGTCAAGAAACCCTACGTCAGAACCAAGGTTCGCAGAGAGAAAATGGTTCAGAAGAAAACAGACAGCTTTCTGTGAAGAGCCAAAGATACCTTCCGGAAGAGATTGTCCATTCAGATGTTTCAGATACCTCAAGCCGAGCCACTTGCCATATGGAACCTGAAAATAATAACAAACACCACAAAACCAAGGACAATTTTAAAAAAAGATCTGTGGTGTCAAAATATCCTAAGGACTGTAGTGAAGTGGAACTGACATATCTAAAAACAAAACAAAGTGCTCCCCGGGATAAAATTTACACCATTGATGGTGATAAGGAACCAGGATTCCATCTGGATCCACCAGAGTATATTGAAAATATTGTTCTTCCAGAGACTATTGAATTTCCTGATGTTTATCAAGACCATAATGACAACTACAGGAAAGCAGAACAAGTTAACAGGACTCCCTTGCATAATGAAGGCAGTCTTCCAGATAATGACCAGTACAAACTTTATTCAAAGCACTATAGCTTAAAAGATAAAAATACTTCTGTAGTTGATGTGAATGAGAGATACAGGCAGAATTCCACCCACTGCAGGAGCTGTCTTTCTAATCTGCCCAGTTACACGGGCCACTTTTTAAGCCGGTCTCCCTATAAATGTGATGCTTGCTTGAGGATTGGGAATCTCTATGACATTGATGAAGATCAAATGTTGCAGGAAACAACCAACTCAGCGCACCCTGAAGAAATGTATGAACGTGACTGGGTCCAAAATAATTCTATCCAATACCAGAAAAAAAATAAGTTGAGAATCAGCAGGCAACATTCTTTTGACAACATCCTTGATAAGCCCCGAGAAATTGATGTTGGAAGACCTGCTCGAAGCATAAGCTTGAAAGAGAAAGAGAGGTTTCTAGAAGGCAGCCCGTATGCAAATATGTTTAATCTCCCCCAAAACAAACTGTTGAGCCACAAAGCCTCACTTTTAACGCATGCTCTGGAGGACAGTAAGCGGAGCAAGTCCTTGTATCCTGATCATTCTGCAGATAACCCTTTTCTGCACTCTTATCGTGATGATCAGCACTTAACTCTAAGACGAAGTCCATCTGATCTCTATAAACAATCACTACCATCACAAGCAAGAAATGATAATTATTTAAGGTCATCCATAAAGTCCACAGCCTCGTACTGTTCCAGAGATGGTCGGGTCCATAATGACATGTACATTTCAGAGCATGTTATGCCTTATGTTGCAAATAAGAATAGTATGTACTCAGCTCCAAGGGTTTTAAAGTCCTGCAGCAATAGACGTGTGTATAAGAAAATGCCTAGTCTTGAATCAGATGTTTAATTTCCCCTTAACACTCTGTTTATAGAGAAACATAGTTGCCACCATCTTAAGAGCATGAGTATTTTTAAACAGTACCATATTATGGTAAATTATATGTAAATCCCTCAGTGTACCTTTGGTACATGACCAGGTAAAATGATATGTTAGAAACATCTTTTTTAGATGTATCGAGGACTTGTCGAAAAGGGGATAAAATAGCCATTTATATAAACATATAAATGGAGATTATACTGGAGCAGCTTAATTCATGGTGGCAACTATGCTATTTTGTATTTTGATTATTTTACAATTTCAGTTACACTAATTTCTGTTACTGAGTATTATTCAATGATTTTTTGTCATTAGAAATGATCAGTGGTTTTCTAATACTGAATAAGCAATATGGTATGCATGCAGTTTGACACAGACAAAAAGTTAAGAATGCATTTGCACAGTGACAAAAGTAAGATTTCTAAAAAGTTAGACTTTCAAGGATATATTTTAGCTTCATATTTGTTTTCAAACACAGTCAAAATGATTCAAAGGAAAAAAAAACAAAACCTCAGGGCCCTAAAATGGAATAAAAAAACGTGTTAGCACAAAAATTTTATGCTCATTCTAGGCCATCATAGAGGCAAATGTAGAAAGTAAAGGCCCAAACAATAGGGATGTGTGAAGCTTTGGTCGTTGATTCGATTCAGTCTGATTCGGCGGCTGAATCTCTGAATCCAAATTGAATCAGGAGACCCTTTAATCTCTCCAAATTGAATTGGAAGCCTCCAAATCAATTCAGAGAGATTCGATGATTCGACCATAGACACAGCTTTTATATGTTTTTTCTACATACCTCAAGGTACCTGGCACAGCTTGTGAACACTGAGATGGTGGGGCGGATAGAGCGTCCCGTGGGAGCATTGGGGAGGGGGGTCCCCTGCGCACTCAGCGGTGCATTCAGAAGTGGACCAGGAGTACTTCTGAATCAGCAAATCGAATCTCTGTCCCCTGAATCAGGCTGAATCAAATACTGCCCACTTCGCACACCCCTACCAAACAATTAATTGTTATGTATCAAAAGGAAGCCACATGGGTACTGGTTGATGTTGATGTACAAATGCTTTCATTATATTTCACATGCACTTACCGTAACAAACTCAGTTACTAGAAAACTGTGCAGTCCTGTTGTGAAGTAAAAAATTCACAGCTGCATAACCTAGAATATATATTTTTAGATATCAATATCTGGAGCTTACACCTGTGAAGCTGTGGACCTCATTACTTATCTTGAAGCCTAATATGTACGTAAATTTGCATTTGCCCCTTACTGGTGATTACTCAGGGCTGTATAGAATTTCTTTTACTCCACTATAAAAACACTCCAATGTAGGTCATTGTTCACAATTCGTTAGTGGTGACATCTACTTAATTGTACATTAATGTTATTAAGATTGTTATAGTGTATCAGACACCAACAGTCATACGTTTAATGTAATTGATAAGGAATGCAATACCATTTGTTTGCATATATTATGAAAGTTAATACCATTTACTGACTTCCTCCTAGAATATCATGTATATTTGTTGAACATCAAGCTAGTTTCTAACCTCTCAAATGAAACCCTTTGTAAAAGTTTAATAGGTGCACACATAATAGCATAGATATAGAGAAATGAAGGGATGCAATACTTATTATCACTTATAGGCATATGTTAAATAAACTATTAGTTGTGAAAAAACATTTTCAAGATAAGGATGCATTCTTACACAATTTTTATTTCTGAGCCTACAAAATTGTCACACACACACACACATACTCACACACACACAGAGCACATGTTACGTTTTAACTAGGGGGGAAATTGTACTTTACTCTTGTTACATATGATCAATTTATGCCCTATCCAAAGGAAAAAGTATTTTCAATTCAAATCAATAACAAATATTACATATATTGATTTAAAACATTCGGGACACTGTACTTACCAATTCCCTAAACTGTGCTGAGAACTGTTCCAATTCCTATGTTTAGGTAGATAATTTAAATTTCAATAACCCTATTTCCTTAGGTTATGTTGAAAAGTTAGTTAGATTTGAAAGGATTTATCTGAGGAAACACCCCCCCCTCCCCCCGGTTCCATTTCTGTTGGGCAAAAATAGCAATTTCCATAACTGTTCCCTAAACATAAACTCTGAAATAATGTTCTATCAGCTGTTAACAGTGGTATCTTTATGAAATAGGTATAATCAAATGACACAAGAATCCCAATAGTATGTTCCAAAGGAGATTTGCCTAATGAGAAAAAAATACAGAAAACATTCTTGTGCTGTACACATACACAAAGTATTTATTATCAATAACACAGATGAGGAAAGAGACAGAATTCAGTTGTGATTATTGTTGCTTTTATTGGTTCCTGCAAACCATTTATTAAGCAGATTTAAGATGCTGCTTCAACTAATGACCATCCACAATGAATTAATCACTTTTACAGTTACTTGTTATTTATAATCAGTACAAGCATTATTTTCAAAAGAATGCAATACAATAAGAATTGAGCCACCTAACTTCCTTGAGATCCTTTGAAAATCCCAGTTCAGATGGTTAGACTCAAATATGCTTATTAAATCTGCCTGGGGATTTTTGTAAACTATTTATAGAGAATAATCCTCTGCATTCAGAATTGGTTTCCGGGATTGGCTAAAGTCATATGGTATGGTTTTTGTTCCCTGATTGCATAAGCTAACATTTATGGACAAGAGGTATATACCAGCCAAAATCATTGAGATTTTGAAACCGTTAGGGCTGCAAACAGATGTCACCTTTGTCCCACAATAAAGCAAAATGTGAGTGCACACATGTCCTTGCTCCTTGTCATGCCACAAATGCTTCAAAATGGCTGTGCACCAATTCCTAGTAATCATTTTTGCCACTTTATCACAGTGGTGTCTGTATATGTATGATGCAATATGCACGCCTCAGGAATTCCCCTGCAGGGGGCTACTGGGTCACACGTTTCACGCTGCCTGATCCCAACCTCTGGTGCACATCTGTAAGTGTGGAGTGAGGACCTCATGTGATATTCCCCGCATTTGTAGACATGTGCCTGAGGTCAGAGCCAACCATGTGGGACTGTTGTCTTACAAGTTTTGGACCCTAAAGCCCTGGGAGTGGTATGAGCCAACTTGTGGAATAGCTGCCCCAGGCAAAATCTGTACCTGCTAATCAAGCAGATCAGCTGTGTTAGACCACATCCTGGCACAGCTGATCCTACCACAAAAATGACATCTGTTTGTAGCCTTAGAGAGACAATGCAAGAAGCACTTTAGATATGAGATAAGCAGAGCTAGAACATTTTAAAGACATTGGCTTTCATGAGTTGTCCATTTTACTGCTCAGCTGCTTACTGGTTCTTCATTTGTTCCTAATTTTGATGGTCAGGCTACTCACCCATTTTTCTGCCTCCGGTTCATTGGTATCTTGCTGGGTCATAATTATATGGCAGCAAAACCATATAACTATGCCTCTTGAGCATGTATATATCTCTGCTACTTTATTAGCTGTACACATTGCAACACTGAGCCCATGTTCGAGGACTAGAATGTGAAGAGTCTCTTGGCAAGGAAAGTTTCAGTCCTTCAACATCATCTGTCATATTCTTCTAACATCTTATAAGTGAGATTATTTAGTTGAACCTTATTTTCAGTGTTCTGCTTTCTAGCACCTACACTGCCACTCTTCCATAATCAGCACACACAAATAGCTCAGTAAGGCATAAAAGCTCCCTCCCAAACGGTCACTTGAACAAAACTCATAGGCCATACGCTTATAAGAAGATGAATGAGCCAAGAGCATAAACACAGTGGTTATGAACCACAAATAAGCTTAGCAAATATGTTTCTGGCAAACTACTTCTATGCCCTGATCTACTGATGTTGAGAAAAAAAAATCTAAAGTACTCTGAACAAGGATATTATCGTTGGTTTTAAATCAAACCAACTTACACAGAATTTTACCCAGGATGAACCATACAATTTTGCCATGACTATCGTAATACCTGATTTTGCAGCAAAACTCTCAAAATATTACTTGTTACTCCCAAACTTGTTGTGCCATTATCTCTATTTCTGTGCATAGACCCACATACTTTTAATAGGATGTAAACATTAGCGCTGTCTTTAAAAATGCTGACTTTTCTCACTTCCAAAATTGTCTAGATGTGCCAACATTCAAATTTAAATATCCTTAAACTAGGTAGACTTGCATTTCTGTGAAATATACAGCAGATGGCTTATAAAGGAATATATAGCTTTTTCCTGACATGAGCAAAAACATTGTTGTAATTCAGACTGCATTTATTATTGATCAGCATACAGAAGCAAAGAAACCAATTAAAGCAGCAAAGCAAAGGCTGAATAATGCAGCTTAATGGTTGCATAGATGTGAACACTTATGCCTTAGTGAAAGGAACCATGTTAACTAGATGTGGGGTGTGAGGATTTTGGTTTGGGCATATAATATAACTAACAAGGAGGAGGCTAATCTTCAGGGATAAGGATGAGGCAGTTACTGATGGTTAGGTGTTAAGGAAAGAAATTAAGGAAGAAGTGGAAAAATATTCAGCAGGGCCAAAATGGCAGAGCCTGTTTATGTTGATCCATAGAACCTGAAGGAGGTCTGAATCTCATCTGCCCTTAATATTTTAATATTGATATTTTTGCACTAACAATCAGTGAAATTGGAATCAAAGATTTCTTGATTCCTTCCTTCTCATTCTAGCTGCTGCTTTTTATCCCTCAGGGAGGGACTGGAAAACCTTGCACTTATGTAGCTGCCCTCTCTATACCTCTGTGGGGGATGCCTATGACTTAATTACTGATGTTTGTGAGTCAGTGTTGCCACTAAGATTTCCACTGGCTCCAGCAGGAGCTGGGTCAGTCTCTAAATGCCTAGGGCCATTGTTGTCACTGGTATTTAGTTTGTCTTTGTAGCATTACATAGCTTGGAGGTGGAGGGATATGGAGTCATTGAGGAAAAGAACATCTTACATAGTGGTGAAAGTGGCTACTACCAACATACTTACCTCTTGTTCTCTGCCTTTCACAAGCATTTTAGAGTTTCCCTGTGTCTGTGCCCTTCCTCTTCATTCTAGTAAGTCAGTCTTTCCATTTTTTTAACTGACCCATTCTATCTCCTATACCATTTGCTGACCACCCAGCTCACTCACCATATATACCTATACCATATATATATGGTACCATATATATACCTATCTCCTATACCATATATCACTCACCACCCAGCTAGAAGGGAAACATTGATATTAAAGTATATCATAAAATAAAGAACAAGCTTTTTCCTTCTGGCAAATTTCATTTAGTTTTTTTGTCTTTTTTTCTCTCTGACAATGAGTCAGGAAAATAAATTCTGTAGAGAAACTCAGCCCAAGGCCTATTGAAAGCAAACCCTTTTTCAGCATAATTTTGGGGTTCTACTTTGACTTTCTAAATAACCTTTTAGCTATTCTCACATATTGAAACAAAGTTCATAAAGTTTAAGGGAATCAGGAGTATTTTTTCTTATTAAAAATTATTTTTAGATGGTTTTTAAAGTGGTGAAGTGTCTAATTTAGCTGGTTCCACTGAATGCCATTTCCAAAGCATGTGAGAACATAGCAATATATACACTTAGAAAACAGCTGCTAATTTCGAACCTGATTCTGCTCGGACCACATTTAATGCATTCTTACTTTTCATTGGGTCTCAAGGTTTTTTTGGTGATAGCATGTAAGACACAGCTATCAAGCGTGAGGCAAAGATACCAGAATCTGTTCCTTGTAGAAGAACTAGATAAAATATTACCGTAGAGTAGTATGTACATCTAGAGGCACCCGGTTGGAAGAGGTGTGGAATTATTCCTTTTATCCACAAGTTAGCCAGTATAGACCAAGTATACCTGACATGAACCCAAAAGTCTAAGACTCAGCTAGGATTTAGAAACAGTTTAAGGTTTCATTTTTTGCTTATTTGATCGCAATGACATTGACCTATACAGGAAAATCTGCAATTACCTAATATAGAACAATAACCTCTATGGATTTTGTAGACAATATTAATGCTAGTTCTCTGTATGTGTTCCTTTCTGAATAAGTAGCAGCATGTTACCCCATTGCAAGATTTTCCTCATCCCAAAAAATCCTTAGTTCTTAGGCTTCTTAAGACTGTTGCCCTACCAGGACAGGACAACCTATATTACAGTTTACCAGTAAATTAATTATAACTGGTTTGAAACAGTAAAGCAAACTCTGGGTAAAACCTCTTTTCAATAAATGTATTTAACTGGGTGTCATTCTTACCTAGACCACCTTCTTCAGTGAGCATGTCCTAAGTGTCCTTTCCCTTTCCTGAGCAGTGCAGGAAGTGCTTCTGAAAGATGAAAAAGGTATTTAAATGTTTCATAGTACAAACTGTTTTCCTTATCAGTCTACACTGTACTGTGTTAGTACTTAGAAGTATCAGCAAAATATTTATATTTATTATCACTAGTAGGAAACAAGTTAATCATAACTGTGCACTTACCTTGGTGGATATAAATGCAAATGCATACATACAAGGGTATTTCAGGTAGTAACGGCAATTTCAAAGTAAAACCATTTTATGTGCAATGATCATTTACAGGACCACATCAGTTATCTGTGTAGTTGTAAATGATGGGTGTGTTGGACAATGCCACCATCAGTGTTCCCCATTGCTTTGTAGTGAACCACTTGTTGCACACAGAATAGTTTTATTTAAAATTTCTTACTTTCTGAAACACCCTCATACATATGGGATAATACCAAAATACCAAATGCCTCCTCCCATCAGAGTCAGCTGGAAAGCTAGTAGCTTAAATGGGAGCAGCCTCCACACCAACATGTTTGCTACACAGTTTTTATCATTCAGATGCGTTCATTCTGATGTTCGCATCTTGTATATAATGTAAAGTTATTGTTAATATTCACTGTTTATTGTGGTATTGATGCAGATGATACCAAGTCTTCATTACAGTGCAATAAAAAAATGCTTGTAAATTTAGAAGATGATGCTTTATGTCTCTTCCCCCCTGAAATGGGAGGAGAGTTAGAGCCCAGCACTTTCTGGTAGGGGGTGGGCTGTGCTGTTTGTAAATAAGATCCTTGTCTGTATCCCATTTCCAGTCAGACAGACTTTCCTTTTAAATTTATTTATTTTTTTGCAATTTTCCCTATGCCTATATACAGAGTATGTTCTGTAGAAATATTCACTCTCCTACCACCTTTAGGGTCACAATTAAAGTGAGCAGGTCCCTGCAAAGCAGTAAAAATTCACTTATTTGTTCTTGCATGTTCATGAGCATTTTTGTTACCTTGTATATAAAACATCCCATATATTGCACAGTCAGTGGATTCAATGATTTTAAAGCGAATGCTGGTCTAAACAGCTGTCAGGATGCCCCTGAAGATCCTGTGATAGTGAACTTATCTGCTCATCATATCATCATCATTTAAAACCATATTTCAGTAAAAAATGTAGTTACTTTGTTGCTTATTAGATTTTTTTTTTGTACTCTTCGTTAGTTCTTTGCTTGTATGGAAAAAAAACCCCTAAATAGATATAGAAACTAGCACCCTGTTGTAATAGTACATGCAGTATATCTCTAGATTTAAAAATATTTTTTGTTTATTATTCTCCACCGCTAAAAAAAAATAGTGACAAACAGTTACACTCTTAGGTATTTTGTGTTAGTATTTGTTTTCACTATCATAGTACAAAACTTATATTTCTATATGCACATTATAAAACTGTGAAAATAAATACCAATAAATATTATGACACTAATACAGTGCAATGTAAAGTTAAGTAAGCTTATACTTCCCTCGGGAACTGAAACAAATTCCTCGTGTTCATAAATGGTATAAAGCTTTAATGTGGGCAAATGGTTGCATTTACATTGACATTAAATTCTAATAGAGGGTATCTTGTTTTGCACTTATGCTACTATCAAAGGTAGTGCTATTTTTTCTCAGTGATTGCATAAAGACAACAAAATTATTTTAAATCTAATTACTGTACCTTGCAGTACATAATAAGCTTGGAAAAGCCTTTTATTACAGATTGTCAAAATGAAAGAACACCATTAGTTAGACATTTGTATTTCTGATAAGTCATTTGTTGACCAGTTCCATTTATGTTTCTGATTGGTAAAAACAACTTGCAGTTTAATTTGGGTTCTGTTTCTAAGCTGCATTGTCAAGACTCATGCAGAATATCAATTATGCAATGTACAATGAGAGTTGTGTTGTTAAAGGTCAAACACATCAGGGTTCCTGCATGTGGATACCAATAATATTTTTTGAAATGACACGTACTGTGAATTGTAGTTAATCTCCTCATCATACAGATAGGATTAGATGAGTCTTGAGAGACTGTTTCAGGGATATGTCAG